CGCCGCGGGCCGAGGGGCGTCGGGAAGAGCCCGCCGGCCCAGAAGCTCAGACCCGGCGCCGCCCCGCCGGGGTCTCCCCGGGGGTCCGGGGCACAGCACCCAACTGGTCCCGCCTCCGCTTTCTGGCAGAAGCCTGCCGAGTGCTGGACTTTGCTCGCTGAGGGCTCTCTACTTTTCAGATTCTGTCTGCAGCGAGGAAAGTGGGCAATTCCTTTCGTTACAGCCCCTACCACCCGTGCAGCCACCTACCGCCTTCCTCCTCCCCCACTCATCAACCATCCCTTCTCCCACACACCTGTTCATCCATCCGGACACCCACCCGCTCTGCCATGCAGCCCGACACTCTCCCATCCAGCCATCCTCCCCCTCCTTGATCCACGTTGGCCCTTCTGAGCGATGGTGCTATCTGGGAAAGCTCTGCTGCGACCAGACGTGACTGCCTTTGGGAGGCCCGTAAATGGCAGGGAAATGTGGGGAGTAGGAGGGGTGCCAGGGCCCCAGGCACCAGGGCCCTTGGTGTGAAGGCGACTCGGCAGGCTGCAGCGGGAGGCGAGAAGCCGAGAAGGTGAGTCTGGAGACCAAGAGGCAAGGCCCTGCTCACCTCTGACCTGAAGGGTGACCTCTGGAGAGTCCCCTCGGGCCCCAGCCGACCCTGTCTGCACCTCTGAGGATATGGAGGTGAGCCCCTCCTGGCTACTAGGACCAAAGCTGGAGAAGGTACAACCATTGAGACACTAACTTTGGGACTGAAGTAGAGACAGCTGAACCCTCTTGTTCCTCCAGCCACCACCCTACCCCTCTGTCTATAGTGGCAGGCGACCGTGGGGAACTTTGCATAAGGAGCAGGAAAGGGAGTGTCTACAGAGCCCCTGGAAACGCAGTGACTGAGAAGAACAAAACTGTTTCCTTGTGTTTCTTCCTGCCTTGCATTCACGGCATACATGGGGCTGCCTGTCCGCGCTCTCTGTGCCTAGGTTCTCATAAAAACTGATGTTCAGCAAATGCTGAGCACCTACTATATATATATGTAGGTCCTAGGAAGACAGCAGTGGATAAGCTAGAGGTCGGTCCTACCATCGTCATCAGCTAAGACCAGCACTGCCTGATGGGAATATCACGCCAGCTACACATGCAGCCACATTAGAAAAGCAGAAGCAAGTTCATTAATAATATTTTATCAGTATATCAAAAACATTACTTAAACATGTGGTCAGTGTTTAAACATTATTATTCTTATTATTCTTATTTTTGAGTTGGAGTCTCACTCTGTCGCCTGCACTGGAGTGCAGTGGCCGCTCCAGGCCACCGCACCCTCGACCTGCTGGGCACCGGCGATCCTTCCGCCTCAGCCTTCCAAGTAGCTGGAACTACAGGCACGCGCTACCACGACCAGCTAATTTTTGATTTATTGTAGAGATGAGGTCTCACCAAGTTGCCCAGGCGGGTCTCGAACCCGCGGGCTCAGGCAATCCACTCACCTCAGCCTCCCAAGGCGCAGGATTACAGGCTGAGCCACCGAGCCCGGCTAAACATTATTAATTAGATATTTTATATCCTTTCTATTGTATTAAGTCTTCAAGATCTGGTGTGTATTTTATACTCAGAGCACAGCTCAACTCAGGCAAGCTGCATTTCAGATGGTTTATAGCTGTATGTAGCTAGTAGCTGCGTGCTGGACATTTCAGCTCTAGGCAGGAAGGCCAACAAATACGCAAATAGACAAATACATCATTTACAAGTGGCCACAGTTTTCTATGAAGGAAACAGAGGGGAGGGAGGAAGGAGCTCTCTGAATGGGTGCTGGCTGAGCGAAGACCTGACATCTAAGAAGGATCTGCTGTTTACAGAGTGAAGTGAACATTTCCATGGGTGAAGCCTCTGTAAGGGGCCAGAGGAAGGCCTGGAGGGAGCTGAGAGAGATGGGACTGAGCGTACAGAGCCGTGTTCAGCCATAGTTGGGAGTTAAGGTTTTTCTTTTTCTCGGTCTGATGAAAAGCCCGTGGGGAAATGTAACCTGGGAGGCCATGTCATCTGATTGACATTTTAAGTCAATCACTCTGGCCCCTCCCTGATGGCTGAGTGAGATGACAGTGCCCTGGGACAGAGTGGGATCTGAGAAGCCAGAGAGAAGGGGATGGACTCAGCAGACATGAATACTTTGGCAGTGCAGCTGACAAGACTTGCAGGTCGATGTGGGGGAAAGGGAGGACTTCAGGATGACTCCCGGTCTCCCTGCCTTAAGAAGCACTACCTGTGCCATAGAAATGAAAGCAGGGTTACTTAGCAATTCAACAAGTGTTTCTTGGACACCGAACTACACATGGAAATTTGTGCCAAAGAAGTGCTGACATCTGACTTGAGTTTCCCAGAATGCCCCACCCACAGATGGCAGAAAGAAATGCTAAGAAAGGAGCCAGAAGACCGGTTCCTCACACAGCCCTGGCCTTAGCAGCTATGGAACTCCAGGTTGGGGAGCGCGTCCCTGCGTGTTTTCCTAAGCCATTGAGGGGCAATTATAACAGTTCTCTGTATCTCCACTTGGTTGTTAGAGGGAATGTACAAATCACATCTATGAAAGAACTCTGTCAAGTTAAAATCCCTAGCCCCCCCCAAAAGATGTAGTTATTAGACTTAACACATTTACTATCTATGCGCTGTTGAGCCTTTGAAAATATTAATTTTTACAAAGCACAGTTTGTCTTAAGTAAATCATGAGGTGACTGTTTTTCAAAACTGATAATAGGAAGATGCTAAAATGCAGGTCTCACCCTGTTATTCCCTGGCTTGAAACCCTTGAGCGGTTTGCTGTGGTAGGTAAAATCATGGTCCCCCAAGAGGTGTCCACACTCGAATCCCAGAAGCTGTCAGTGTTATGTTACATGGGAAGGGGGAATTAAGGCTGCAGATGGAATGAAAGTTGCTAATCAGCTATTCTTGAGACAGGAAGATTGCTTAGGACCATTCAGGTAGGCTTGATGGAACTGCAAAAATTCCTACAGTGAAGGAGGGAAGCAGAGGAGTACGAATCAGAGGGTGTGACACGCTGGGATTTTTTTGTTTTTGTTTCTTAATTAATTAGTTAATTAAGTGAGTCAGAATCTCATTCTGTCATCAAGGCTGGTGTGCAGCTGTACACTCATGGCCACTGCAGCCTTGTCCTGCTGGGCTATCCTTCCAAGTAGCTGGAACTACAGGTACACACCACCGCACCTGGCTGCTTTTTAATTTGTTGTAGAGACAAGGTCTTGCCAAGTTGCCCAGGCTGGTCTCAAGCCCCTGGACTCAGACAATCCTCTCACCTTGGCCTCCCAAAGTGCTGGGATTACAGGTGTGAGCCACCGTGACTGGCTTGTTTTTTGAATAAGAGTCCCACTCTGTGACCCAGACTGGAGTGCAGTGGCATGATGATGGCTCACCATAGCCTCCAACTTCTGGGCTCAAGCAGTCCTCTGTGTTGGCCTCCTGAGTAGCTAGGACTACAGGTGTGTGCCATCACACCAAGCTAATTTTTAAAACTTTTTTTGTAGAGACAGAGTCTCACTATGTTGCCAGGCTGGTTTCAAACTCCTGGACTCAAGCAATCCTCCTGCCTCAGCTTTCCAAAGTGCTAGGATTATAGGAATGAGCCACCATGCCCAACCATTGCTGGTTTTGAAGGTGGAAGTGGGACACAATGGAGGAATGCAGGTGGAAAAGGCAAGGCAACGGGTTCTCCTAGAGTTTCCAGAAGAAACCACTTTGCTGACACCTTCATTAGCTTAGTACGACCCTTCTCAGACTTCTGACCTCAAGAACTGTAACATAATACATTTGTGTTGTTTTAAGTCACTAAGTTTGTGGTAATTACAAGCAACAACAGGAAACTCTTGCACTCACCAAAGTTCTTTGGGAAATGTCTAACCTGCATCACACAGCACACAAGGCCAGTGGGATCT